AAGAATTGCTGATACTGATAGTTTACAGATTCCAACTCTGTACCCCAGTCAGGTACCTCCGCCAAGGGTCCGCTTCCTAGCTGCGGCTGGATAGGGGAACTAGCTCTGCCCGCTCCCAGGCACTGGATGGCACACAGTCCCGGGAAGTCCAGCCCTTTCAAGGACTTTCTCTGCTGCATCTTCCACCAGCTGCAACAAGCTGGCCCAGGGATTAACCCTTTTCTCTCCCCCCCGCCCCCAGTAACTTGACGAGACTGAATTCTGGAGGTACAACACTGACAATGCTTTATTGGTACACACAGCTTTTATGCACAGACAGCTTTTGTACAATCCCAGGCTGGAGGGGGATGGTTTAGAGATAACTACCTCCCACTCAGGGAGATACCAACTGTACAACAATTACAAACAGTAAAACACATTACATATATGGGGGAACACTTAGGGGCTCCACGCTCCGGGAAGGGAATGGGGTACACACATGAAACATACATTCCTGGATAGCCCTGGGTCCCAGCCAGGACCCCTGCAAATAGCGGGGCTATCGGATGTACAGAGCCTGAGAACCCATCATGCAAAATCTGGGCTTGGGGCTCTGTACATCCCCGAAAATAGTTCCACAGCGTTGCTTGGTTTAGTCTGGTGAATTCAAACTTTGCACCTAAACCAAGCAACAGCCAATCAGCTGAAAGGCGCAAAACCAATTTGTGCTAATCAGTGCTCAGGGAGGAGAGGGTTTTTGCCGCCCAATCTGGAGAAAGGGCGCAAAACCCTGTTTAAATGGGTGCTCTTTCTCTGATTGGTTGCCTGAGCCCTGCAGCAACCAATCATCGTTCACTCATGCCAACCCATCAGGAGAATGGTGCGAACCCAGTTTGAATGGTAGCTTCCTCTCCTGATTGGTTGGCACAGGCTTCCAGGCAGACTGAGGGACTCTGCGGCTGTGAAGCTGACTCACAGCTCCAGGGTCTCCACTGGGGCTTGCGCCTCTCTCTGGTGGCTGCCTCCACTTAGGCAGCCATGGGGAGAGTGCACCTTGGGCAGCTACGAGCCTGGCCTCGTAGCTCCCAGGAGGTAAAGGCAGTGACTATAGCTCCATTGGGAGCAGGTAGGGCAACCCCCGACATGGGGACCTGAAACAGTGCGGGGAGGCCAGTTCAGGATACAAATGCTTTCCCTGGTTGGCGTTCGGCTATGCGAACCGTCAGCCACCCTAGGGGCATTCATTAATGATTTCCCTTGAGGTTTCAGAATGTTCTAATGAGCATTTTAAATCGGAAATCAAGGTGGTCCCCATTCGGGAGACGAATGGGTTCCATTTGTATGAGCTCTCCCGAAGGGGGAACAGGCAAAATACATGAAATACATAACAGAGACATGGGGAAACACAGAATACAAGGGGAAAAAAACATGAATAAGCAGTGGGCATGGTACTTGACGGTGGTCCATCACACCAACAACTGGAAAATACTATTACAATTAATTTATCCCTAAAGTAATTTGTGCTGTTTCCATTATGGAAAGTCAAGTGGAGAGGATAGTAGATTCCAAATGGCTTCATGCATGTCATGGTTCTAGCTGAATCAGACATTTAAAGTTAATGTAAAGGATATTTTAGGAGCCTATGTCCACAACTTCCATGAACACTTTATTGTCTTGCATTGAAACCACAAAAACCAAGATTGCATGCCAGTTTTCGTTTAACTCTTCCATGATGGGTGATGTGCCAGAAGCAAAGAAAGGGTCAATACGCTGAATTTAAAAATTTTTTGTTGGCAAATATTTATCAAAGGTAAAGGTAACATCTTCATGCTAGCAATGCAAACATTTTGAAAATAGTATCAGAGATCCAAGACAAAGAGTGTCCACTTAAGAACTCATTTAGATTTAAGTATTGTGGAAGCTTGAAGATGCTGTAGCTAAACAGGGATGATGGTCAGATATATGTTTTTGAAGTTTCTGTGAGTCCTTCCTGCAGAGAAAGGTCTGATTGTGCAGCATTTACCTACAAGATCAGAGTTATTTCTCTACTTAGAGAAAGAAATGCTTTCAAAGAAAATAAGTGAACAATCTCGTTACTTTTCAATTTACTGTCAGAATAAGTCCAGCTTTTGAAAGTAATAAAATTGTGGCAGAATTTGAGTTTAAAGATGTTATAATACATTCTTGGCAAATAAGGCTAAAGAAACTATAAAAACATATGAGCTACAGCAGATGGACAGAAACACACGTAAGAGATATTCTTACAGAAGTAAAGGGGGAAAAAAAACCAAAAAATTCTTAGATTAACTGAAATCAAAGCTGAATTATGGGCAACGGGGGTTGTGAACCCTGAGTGGTAACATGTGTAAAGGGACATTTGGGCTAGACATTATTTTTACACATGGGCAACAATAGATCTGAGACATCTCTCTGAATTAACTGGATATTATTAGTGGAGAGTAGGTGGTTCTAGTGATTGCAGTGTCCCTGTAAATTGTCAAGAAGAAATTCTAAAATCCCTTTTCATCCTGAGTGGCTGTCAGTTATAACTCCTTGGCAGACCAAATCAAAACGTTGCCCGTCAGCCAATGAGCATCAAGAAGGCAACCTCCAAGGATCTGTGCTCAGCAATATAAAGCTATCAAGCATACAGACATAAAGACACGTAAAGACACACACACACACAGGCACAGGTGTCTATCTTCCTGGCAAGTTGTGCATACGGACTCTTTCTTTATGCTATTTGATTGTGATCCGTTACCATCATTACTGTTATTGCACTCTTTTTATTTTTTGATATTTTTTTTTAACTAAATTTTATATAAATTTTTATATTACCGTATATACTCGAGTATAAGCTGAGTTTTTCGGCACATTTTTTGTGCTGAAAAAGCCCCCTCGGCTTATACTCGAGTCAAGGTCTGTATTATGGCAAACTTACATGGCAACTTGTAATGAGCCCGGCGGTCCTGTTGTGGTCTGGCCGCGAGCTCTTACTTACCTTTGTAGCAGCTCCGGTCAGCTCCCTGTCAGCTCCGTGCAGCTCCCCAGTTCAGCTCATAGTGTAAGTCTTGTTACCGTGGTAACAGGGCCGGTGCAAGGATTTTTGCCGCCCTAGGCAAAAGAAGGATTTGCCGCTCCCCCACCCCCAGAACATCGCAATTCCCCACCCAAATGAACTAATGCCAGTGCTGCACATTAAAAAGCCTGCAGGGACAAACTATAGACACCAGAACAACTTTATTAAGCTTCAGTGGTTCTGAGGACTATAGTGTCCATTTAATGTGAGGTAAATTAGCGATTAGTGTCACTAATAATATACTAGATTGCCTACTTACAATCAGATGAGGATGGTGATGGGCTCTGGCTGCAGTCTGGCTCCACTGGTCTGGTGTAGAACAGGATCTCTGGAGGCTGCTTGTAACTGTGGTCACAAAATTCAATGTTCTGGGAGAACGGGAAGCAGCTCCATTTTTTGGGGCCTCTTACATAGCTCAAGGTCTGGGCCCCAGGGCCTGACGGTGAGTATGCCCATAAAGCCCACCCATAAGTCCACCTACATGTTCCACCCATGAACTCACAGGGAGTAGAGTGTGTAGGGGATTTGTTATGTGTTACTGTAGAGGATCTAATGTGTGTGCTTACGGAATGTAGTGTATAGGGATACCAGTTTGTGTAGGTGATGCAGTGTGTTTGTGTGTAGTGGAAGCAGTGTGTGTGTGTGTGTGTGTGTATAAGGGATTTATTGTGTGTTTTTTGTTGTGTGTAAGGGATGCATTGTGTGAATCTGTGTTTGTATGCATAAGGGATGCAAAGTGTGTTTCTGTGTATGTAAGGGATGCAGTGTGTGTGTCTGTAAGGGGTGTGTTGAGTGTGTGTAAGAGATGCATTGTGTTTGTGTGTGTGTGTTTGCATGTGTGTCTAAGGGATGCATTGTGTGTGTTCTGTGTATATGTGCAAAGGATGCATTGTCTTTATGTGTAAGGGTTGCATTGTGTGTTTCTCTGTGTGTGTAAGGGAAGCATGTTGTGTTTCTGTGTGTATAGGGATGCATTGTGTGTGTGTGTGCCTGTGGTGTGAAAGAGCTCCCTGTCCCCCTGTCCTATAGAGCTCTCCCTTCCATTCCTTAGAGATCTCCCCTGCCCCTTAGTGGTCTCTCC